GCAGTTTCTATTTAAAATTTTATCCTCATTTGCCAACAGCTTTGCTATAAATAAACTGAAATTTAGAGTGATAAAGGTTTCATTTCAAAACTCTCAGAGCGCCTCCATAATGCCATGTGTTTGTTCAAATTCAATCAAATATATATGAGAATCTCATTTATAGGAAGATAATCAGCTCTAGAATTTCACACTGTCACAACATAGCAAAAGCCTTACCCAGGCCACCCTCCATTAGGAACAGAAATAGGTGATAATATAGATATTTAGATTTTTTTAATATAGACATAGCACGTCACCAATGAGGACAGAAAATAAAGAGCATCCACTTCACACTTCTGACCGGAAGTTCTGCAGGACAGTCAGATTTTTTTGTAAATAACCAGTTTGGTCAAAACCACGAGAATCAGCACAACCCGACACATCTCAGGGCATCATGCACAGCAACACCAGAGTAACAGAGTGAAAGTCCACAACAGTTTCTCTTCTTAGAGGGAAATATGAACGGATCGCTGCTCTGGTAGCAAAGGTCAATAGTGTCTGATAGACAAGAAAAGATGTCCAAGACAGAATAAGAAGAAAAGAGCAGAGGACACATGCAAAATGCAGTCAGCTGGTCTCGAAGGAGAGCACTTGACAGGGAGTCTGGACAGCCTCACTACAGCAGTCTCCGCAGAGCTCAGGAAGATGCAGACCCCCTGGCTGCTCCCTTCTCAATAAATCCAAGACACCAGGCTGTGACTTCTCTGGTCTCTTTGGTCCTCTGATCTTTTGGACTAAATGGCATCAAGATGTCATCCTCAAGCTTAAGATATCTCAGAAATTTTAATTTCAAGGGTGCTAACAATTCCATAAGAAAAAGAGCCTGGTCTTGTAGATCCAGATCTAAGCTCTGGGGAGATCTATGTAATCAGATATTTTCTTTACAGGGACAAAACCTTGACACCTGACCTCCCTGCCAATCCTGGATGGCAGCTTGTTTTTCATAGACAGTTGTCAACACACCATGCCAAAGCTCCATGGGGTTTTAAAGTCCATCTGCTCCACAAAGTGAAATTCCAGAAAACAGGAGGAAAAATCCCTTGTGTTCTTTGGGATGCTGAGTCATAATGTTCAGGAAACTCCAGACATCTAAGCACTAACTTCACTATCTTCCAAAGTGCCATGTCTTCACATGAGGAAGGGGTTCTGGCTCAGAGTTCTGTGGGTAAAGATAGACAACTTACTGCTTTTTCTTGCATTCCACTGCTCTTTCCACAGTGAAGTCGGGCAGGTTGACAAATCCATCAGCTTTCTCTGCCTGAAACAAATACACATCACAAGTATGAATAAATAAACCTTAGCAGAGTATTGAGAGCATCTATGTTCAGAGAGAGCCGAAATGAAGGAGAATCAAAAGATACCTCCTTACAGCCTCATTGGACTTATCCCAAATACACAGTTTATGAGAAAAGTTAGTATTCTCCTGATTCATCATCCAGAATCTTTGCAGCAGAAGTAAAAGCACACCACTTAGGCCTGAGCAATATATGGAGTAAGCCACAAACAAAGAAGATGACACCTAATTACATTTTGACACATGGTAGACAGAAACCTGACTTGGGAGTTAGCAAACCTAGGTTCTTCTTATGGCTCTACTATTATAAGATTTAAAAGTTATAAGATTTAATGAGCTAGACAAACAAAATAATTAGCACACTGAATAAACATGTCTTTCCCTAAGACCTAGGAAGTTCCTTGGGAACTTTCAAGCCATGTCTTGAAAGACCTCCATTCCATAATTGATTCCTACATGTTCTTTCTACTAAGGAAAAAGTATGGAAGAAACACTGCTTTTGAAGACATAGCTTGACTGTTGCTTTAAAACATTTTAAAAATTGTATGGATTGTAATTGTAACCTCTATACGAATTGGTTAATCTCTATGAGTAACATTTAACTCAGCCACAAGGAGCTAGATTGCTTATCATGAACACAAATCTGTGGTCTACACTTTTATCTCTGAGAAATAAATTCCACAAGATTAAACATACATGAGTAAGTGGTTAGTAGGAAAGTTTGAAAATACAAATTTAATTTTAAAAGTCAGCTAGCTGTTAAATTAGCACTGTGAATGACTTTAGGTCATTTCATCGGCTTGTGTCTCTTTCCCTTATCACCAACTAAGCTGCAACTTGTGGTCTTTTCTTTAGAAAAACAAGACTATGAGATTCCAACTCTGCATATCCCATCTTCAATCTCTTACATGAATCAATTTATTTAAACTTTTCGCTTGAGTAAGACTCAATTCTGGGGCCCTCCCTCGTGGTGCAGCAGGTTAGGACATAACATTGAAATCTAGTGGCAGCCGCCTCAATATGCATTTGATTCCTGGCCCTGGAGGTGACCCACAGGGCATGGCAGACCTCTCTTGACCCACCCACTGCTCCCCTCAGCAGTGTACTTCGTTGATCTGCCTGTTCTGCTCCCTACTCTGTCTCTGGTGAACCATCTCACCGCCCCTGCACCTCTGGCTTGTACCCCAGTTCTGTATGAATAAATAATTCTTTAAAAAAGAAAAAGAAACTCAATTCTGATGGCCATTTCCTTCTTTTAAATAATGGTGTGTGGAAATGTACATAATATAAATTGTGTGTTTATATAAGTTGAATGAATTTGTATGTGTATATGGTATATATAATTATAACTTATCACCTGATGATCTGTTTAATTTAATTGGTTGGTTCACCAATACAATCTCAAAGAGAATGTAAAGTACTCAAAAAATACTGACTACATAAATTAACATTTTGTACAATACATAATGTTTTCTATGAATTTTCAAATTAATATTATATGAAAGTAGTTTCAAAAAACAATGGCAAGCTCCAGCAACAGCCAAAGGAATTAAAAAACAGACACTGAAAATATATTCACAGCTCTGTTCAAAGTAGCCAAAAGAAGAAAACAATTCAAATACCCATCAGCAGAGGACTGGATAAACCAACTGTGGTATCTGTACAATGGAATATTATGCAATCGTAAAAATGAAGTACTGATACATGTTACCATATGGACCTTGAGAACATTATGCACAATGAAAGAATCCAGACTCAAGAGCTCACATACAATAGGATTCCATTTATGTGAGCTATCCAGGACAGGTAAATCCACAGTGACAGAATGTAGCCTGGTATTTTCCAGGGCCTGGGGAGAGCTGAGAATAGGGAGCAGTTGATTGATGGTCATGGGTTTTTCTTTTGGAGTGGTGAAAATGTTTTAGAATTAGGTAAAGGTGATGTTTTCAAGCACTGAATGAACTAAATACCACTAAATTACTCACTTTAAATTGATTTATCTCGTGTTATATACATTACATTCAATAAAAGTTAGGCAGAGGTATTTTGATGTTGCTTTATGTAGTCAGAAAATATATAATTTTTATTCACTATCATACAAAAGTAAATTATATTCCATTCATTTCTATGCTCCTACTCACAAATGCTGGAGTCACCACGAACTCTCAACATGCCCATGTTGCTAAATCCCATCTGTCCCTTCAGTCCTCACTTAATTGAACTCCAGTAACTGCCAGGCAAACCTGCTCCTCTGTCTTGAAATGCTCACATGTTGCTTTTCTGGCAACAGTTTCCTGTGCTTCTTCTTCCCTCCAATTACTCCTCCTCTTTTAGGGCCGTCTCCCTTCCTTTTTCACAAATAGCAGTGTTCTCCAGATTCCAAACACAAGCATCATTTCTGATCATCCCCGTACTCTCTGTGGGTACCACACACACTTCCACGTATCATCACACATATCCACAATCTGTACCTCAGATGGAATGCAACCCTGAAAAATCCTGTCCCAGAGACCAGCTCACATGAGTATCGTGTGGTGTCCCTGTTGGAAACTGAATGTTCGTGTGCCATGTATGTCACCCCCAATTCATATACTGAAGCCACCAAGTGATGGTATTTAGATGTGAGACTTTTTGGAAGAAATCAGGTTTAGATGAGGTCATGGAGTGGATCCGCCATGATGGGACTAGTGTCCTTCCAAGATGATGAGGCTTGATCCCCCTTTCTCTCCTTCACATGAAGAGACAGCAAGAACACAACAGTCCACAAGCCACAACATAGGTGCTCACCAAACATGGAATCTGCCAGCACTTTCACCTTGGACATCTCAGCCTCCAGGACTATGAGGAGTTTAAGTCACCTCATCAATGGTATGATGGACTAACACATTCCTCAAGAGTCATAAATCCAAAACCAAACGTAATCCCCTTACTCAATCCTTTTATGGATTAGCTAGTCTCTGCTTCAACACGTGACTATTATATCACTTTCTCTTCAGTTGTCAGTACAGAAAGCCTGGGAGACAGGCTGTCTCCTTTTTAGCGTCCACTGTTGCAGCTGCTCAGTGCACCGTCCACCACCTCCTTCACATCAACGTTACTGCAGAAGTCACCTAAATGAGCTCCCCTATCTCACTCTGTCCTTTCACCCAATTTAGTCTCCAGGCCATCATCGCAGCAAACCTTTATAGCCTCACATTCTTCCCATCACTCGTTTCCTTAGAATCATGCATGTTTCCCCCCTCCCCTTGGGCAAAGTGTGGCTGTTTTTGTGATGTAAAAGGCCCTTGTGGTCTAGTCCTGTTTACTTTCACAAGTGCACAGCCTCAGTGTCCTTGACTCAGCCAAAATAAAAATAATAATAATAATAAAAGGAAAAAATAGTAATACTTCAAGTGAGCTGAACCCGAATTGATACCCAGCTATGACTAGGATACTGTTACTCCCTCGGCAACTATTTTAAATGTGCTAAACCCACCTTAAACCACAGCACTACACAATCACCACAAACAAAGGAGAATGGAAAAGGCAAGTTATAAATCTTCTTTTGAGTGAATTCCTTTTCTGCATAGCTGAAGTGGCTGATAATCCTTCAGCTAAAGGCCTAAACAAATTTAAGTAAAAGACACTTCATTGATTCCCCAATAAATATCTCCTTTATGAAGATAAATGTCTATTTTTTTCATTAAATTGAAGACATACAAGCTGTGTCAAATCATAGTTAACCATGGCAAAAACTGTCCTTGCTTATCTGACTTGCAAAAATACCTCAAAATGGCAACGATGGACAAATCCTAAAAGGAAAGCACTTTTCCCCTCTTCCTCCTCCTCTCCTTTTTTATTCACCCAGATCCCTGGTTTCTTGTTACATTAACTAAAACAACTTTTCCCAATGGTTTTCCCTTCCTCTTCAGTGATTCCTGACTCCTGAAAAGATAACTCAACGTTCTTCACTGGTATACACCCCCTCCCCTCTAGCCTCAAAGAAAATGTGTTCTCTTACCAAGATTGCCCACACATCCCCTGGATGTGGTGTAGATACATCTGACCAAGTCTATACTTAAATCCTGAGGCAAGCTAATGCATTCACACTGCGGCATGAAGTCTCACAACCCCAAGGTGCTCCTCCTTAAAAGCCAACCCATCCATTCTTCCCAGAACCTCTGACTTTGTGTCTCGGTGGCACCTCACCTGCTATTGCGATGTTACACGGTATTAAACACACAATTGTAGCAAACCATTGGCGTCACGCTTTCATTTATTCAACAAATGTGTACTGAGTGGCGACTGTACCATGCTCTTTGGCACATGTCAGAAGACAAAACAGAGATGCTGCTTGCAAGGGGAGATGAGGCAACAGCTTACCCTAGACACCTGAACTGCATCATGCTTTGCAGCAGCAATGACTATGGAAAAGCAAATCAGATTGGGGAGGGAGCTTGGAGGTTGCAAACGGGGCAAGCTGCTCTCTGCTAATGTCCTAGATACACCTTCAGGAACCAACTTCTCCGAAAGGATCCCCCCCTCCTCCAACCAGACTAAGCACCCTCCTCTTTGCCCACCAGCACCAGGAGCAGGCTTCGCTGCCAACTTCTCGTACTGTATTTAGTTGTCTGGCCACACGTCCATTTCTCCATTTGACTAGGAATACCTTTAAGGGGAAACATTTCTGCAGTCCTGTCATTAACACTTGGCACAAAGGAGACATGCAATAAATGTGAAATACATGAGTTCTATGAATAATGATAGAAACAGTGTTTTCCTCTGACAATAAGTTGTTAAAATAAATCAGTTTAGGGCCTCCCTGATGGCACTGGCACATGAGGGTAAGTCTCAGTACTATGATGCTCTCTGCAGCTCCTGCAGCATGAGTTCGATCCCTGCCCAGGGAGCTGACCCACAGGGCACAGCGGACCTCTCCTATCTCGCCCACTGCTCCCCTAAACAGTGTATTTCAGTAGATCGGC